GAATGTGGGCTCTCCCAGAATCCTCTGCACACTAGAATGATGGGGGGTCTCCCAGAATCCTCTGAGCGCCATAATGATGGGGGGTCTCCCAGAAACATCTGAACACTAGAATGATGGGGGGTCCCCTGGAATCCTCTGAGCACTATAATGATGGGGGGTCTCCCGGAACCCTCTGATCACTAGAATGATGGGGCGTCCCCCGTAATCCTCTGAGCACTATAATGATGGGGGGTCTCCCAGAATCCTCTGATCACTAGAATGATGGGGGGTCCCCGGAGTCCTCTGAACACTATAATGATGGGGCGTCCCCCGTAATCCTCTGAGCGCTATAATGATGGGGGTCCCCGGAATCCTCTGAACACTATAATAATGGGGGGGGGGGCGGGGTCTTCCAGAAAACCATCTCCTTTATCTCTCGGGGCTCATCTAAAAAACTGGTTTCAGACCTCCTCAATACGTGGCTCCCATTCAGGACCCATTCACATGTTAGTGCGATACATTATAGTGTGTGAAGACGTGCAGCCCATTCCTGTTACAGGGTGACAACTCTCCTCCAACTGCGCCCCCGTGTTGTCAGACTTATAGAGACAAGCAGCCACACTGACACACATTGCTCAGATATGATTCAACGTTGTCACCATCAGATGAATGATATGCAGGCGACGTTGGAGCGAGTGCATGTAGACAGGAAGTGGCTGAAAGAGGATGGAGGAGTTCAGCAGCACTGAGATGGGAAGAAGCCAGTCACATGATCACACATGTATCTATATGACCAAAATTAATTGAATTTGGATTCTGAACCACACACCGTCTATACAATCGGTTCAATGAGCTCCTAATCGATTGATTTCTGATTGGTGATCATTTCTGATCGATTGAAGGAATATCTGCGTGCGTGTCAGAGAGCCGATCACATTACAGATCAATTAAATGATCATTTTGTACAGATCATTTTTGATACATTGTATTTTCAATCGATATCACGTGTTTCATTATTGATTAATGGCTCGTACCGGGATCGATCACCAATCAATACGTGTATGGCCACCTCAAGACAGAGGAACAGTGAAGCACAGCCACTGGAGCCTGCCAACATGGCCGCCACCAACACTCCTATATACTGATACGCTATCGCTATACAAAGTCATTACACGTAAACGTGATAACATACAATGACCTGGACCCAAGACAATAGACAAATCTCCTTTAAGTATATTTCCAATTTGACTAATGATTGCCGTACACCCCCCCTGTCATGTGACGTCACCCCTCCACTGGCCCCAGGTAGACCCACCATGACCCCGGCACTCCGACCCCACACTGCCCACGGCATCAGAGTGTTTTCACACGTGATAATGATCACCAATTAGCACCAGGACATCATAACGGCTCTCATTATGTGTGTGTGAAGCTCTAATACGGAGCTCGGGGGTCATGCAGGGTGACTGGTCCCGTCTCTGCCCCCTCCTGTGGTTTTCTGCAGGCAGCCTGCAATGGGTGGTGGCGGCAGGGCTCCTCCCACACAGCTCTGCTCTCTCCGCACAGGCTATGTACTGCACAGTGATGATGTCACTGTGCTGCTTTTACAAGGTAACATTTGAGTTTGCAAAGTAGATTTATATATATTTAAAGTCTTTGTTTCCAGAGTTCGGCTTTGATTAATTAAAGTGCCTATAATTAGTAAGAGGGATAACATTGTCATGATATTTGAATGTCTTCTGCAATCCCCATACTGGAATATGTTATTCTGGATAGTGTTAGATGTGAGGACAGACAAGCCGAGTTGAGCTGAGTGGACATTTTTTCGGAACTTTTGTCATCAGTGGCAGATATTCATTATATGTTCATTGCTGACAGTTACGCATTGAGTGAGTTGGGGGCAGTGGCGTCACAAGGGGGGTGTGGGGGGTGTGGCCCGCACCCGGGTGACACCATTGGAGGGGTGACACCAAAATGACTGACAGTCATTTCGGTGTCACCCCCCTCTGAAAAATCGGGCGCTCGGTCATGGACCGAACGCCCGACAGTGTCAGGAGAGAGGAGGGGACACGCCGGCATACCTTATCCCGCCGGGTGGCTGTCTCCTCCTCTCTCTGCCGGGGTCCATCACCATGCCGGCGTCATCGCGCACACGCGTGGTGACGTCACGCGCATGCGCGGTGGCGTCTCGGCGGGGTGACACTCGGACACCGCTCCGGGTGTCACCCAGCCTCGGGACGCCCCTGACCTCAGCTTGAAATGAGGTGATGATGATGATGATGATGATGATTATTAGGGAGGTACAGGTACAGGTACCGATACTTTTCCAGCTCCAGGACTAGACTAGAGAAAAACTCAAAAATTAGGAGGCCGCTGTCATTTGTAAGGAGCACACGGAGCTCCCGAGATTTGTACATCTCTGATTTACTGTAT